ACACCTTTTCATGGTAAAATGATTCAATGAACTAGGAATAGAAAGGCACTTCCTCAACCTGATAAAGAGCATCTATGAAAAGCCTATATAGCCAACATCATACTCAGTGGTGAGACACTGAACACTTTTCCCCAAGATCAGGAATAACACGAGGACATCTATTCTCATTATTTCTGTGCAATCAAGTGAGAAAAAGAAATAAAAGGCATCAAGATTGGAAAAGAAAGTATAAAACTGCCTTTAGTCACAAACTATATGATCATCTAAGCAGAGAATGTGATGTAATCTACAAAAAAGCTACTAGAACTAGTGAATATAGTAAGTTTGCAGAACACAAGATCAATATAACAAGTCAGTTATACCCTATATACTAGCAACACAAAATAAGAAATTGAAATCTTTAACAATAATACTATTTACAACAATATCAAAAAAGTAAATTAGGGATAAATTAGGGATAAATATGACAAAAAGTACACAAACAGGTACACTGAAAACTACAAAATATTGCCAAAGGAAATTTAAAAAGGGAGAGAAATATGCATTTTTCTTGAGTCAGAAAACTCAATATTGCTAAGACATTAGTTTTTCCCAAATTGTTCTACAGATTCAATGTAATCCCAGTGGAGATTCCTGTGGGATTTTCTGCATAAACTGGCAAGCTGGTTTTTAAATTTGTATGAAAATATAAAGAGCTTAGAATAGCCAGAACAACTATTTAAAAAAAAATAACAAAGTTGGAGGACTCACACTACCTGACTTCAAGATTTATTTAAAGGCTATAGGAATCAAATTTTGATTTGTTGTAAATAAGCAAATAGATGAATGAGACAGAAGAGAGAACACAGAAATATATCTAAACATACACGGACAACCAGTTTTTGACAAAGGTATGAAGGCAGTCAGTGAAGCAAGGATGGTGCTGAATTGACTTGACACCCATATACAAAAACAATGAACTCCAGTTCATACCTGGCACCATACACAACATGGAGTGACAGACCTAAATGTATAGCCTAAAACTATACAACTTCTGGAAGAAAATATTGGAGAAAAATTTTCTGATGTTGGGGCCAGCAAAGATCACTTAGATATGACACCAAAACTTGATCCCTAAAAAGAAAAATTGATAATCAAATTTTAAAACTTAGCTCCTAAGAGAATGAAGACAACTTGTAAGCTGAGAGAAACCCATTGCGAAGCATTTATCTGATAAAGGATGTGTATTCACACTACAAAAGAACTCTGAAAAATTAATAACAAGAAAACAACACAATTTTTTAAATGGGCAAAAGATTTGAACAGAGAGTACACCAAGGAAGGTACATAGAGGGCAAATGAGCAAACAAAAAGATGTATCCAGGGAAATGCAAACCAAAGCCACAGTGAGATCCCACAACACACCTACTGAAACGGCTAAAATTGAAAAGACTGACCATCCCAAGTGTTGAGAAGGATTTGGAGGAACTGGAACCCCCACACTATCATCAGAAATGTAAAATGGTACAACCACTCTGTAAAACAGTTGGGCAGCTTTTCACAAAGCTAAGCAGAGCACAGGGGATTTTTAGGGCCATGAAACTATTTTGAACGATACTATAACGGTGGACACATGTCATTATACACTTGTCAAAACCACAGAATGAACACTGCATGTCAACTAAACTCAAGTAAAATAAAAATTAAGGGGAAAAAAACATAGACTGTACGACACCAGGAGTGAATCCTAACATACACTATGGTTGGGTGAGCATGTGATTCCATGTCCATGAAATGTCCAGAAATGGCAATACAGAGAAACAGGAAGTACATCATTAGTGGTGAAGCACAACCCGGAGAGACTGGGGAGACTGGGGGGATGAAAAAGTTTCTTTTCAGACACAGTTTCTTTCAGGTTGAGTGTTCTAAACTCAAAAGAGTGGTGCAGCTGCATGACTCTCTAAACATACTAAAAAAAACCACCATGGAATTGTACACTTTCAGTGGGTGAATTTTGAGGCATGTTCATTAAAATCTTGATAAATGCCTTAAAATTTAAAACTTGATAAGTGTTTTAAAAATTAACTGTTTTAAAAATTAAAGACTGAGTTGGACTCCAGTTCAACTGAGAGAATAAATTATTTATGTGATCATTTGGAAGACACATACATGTGAGGAAAACGTATATATTCAAAAACAAACATGTACATATAAATTTATTAGTTTTCTTTTACTTGTGAATGCAAATTGGTGGTAACACAAGAAAAGCAGGAGTACCTTCTGTGTGGATCTTTTTCTATAGAATATTGGCAAGATTATCTTCCCATGGATAAAAGGGAGTAAAAGTCATACTATGACTATGAAATCATTTTCTCTTCAAAATGTCTGATGACTCAGAGATAAGTCTGTACTAAACATCTTCTGTTCAAAATACACAATGAATAAGGATAAGAGTGTAAGTATAATAAGAATATCTGATTGGGGGGGAAAAAGTGAAGCATATTCCTACCATATGACCCAGCCACTCTACTCCTTGATAGATCCCCAAGTAGTTCAGAGTCCTGTACACAACCGCTTTCAGCAGCTCTAAGAGCCAATCCCAGAAATTATCTAAACATGCGTGAACAGCTGCAGAGACATTGTGGTGCATCCACAACAATATCAATGGAATATTATTCCACAATAAAAAGGAAAGAACTAATATATACAACAGGATAGATGAATCTTAAAAAAAAATTATGCTGAATGATACCAAACCAAAAACAAAAAACAAAAAAGAATACATGCTATGCCATTCCATTTGCAAAAAATTTTAAGAATGCAAATAATCCATAGTGACATAGTGAAATGTGGGGGGTGATGGACACATTTACTGGATTGATCCTGGTTGAGTTTCTCAGATGTAAACACATGGCAAAACATCAAATTCACTACTTTGAATGTGTGCGGTTGAGTCTATGTCAGTAAAGCTATACGGGGTTTTGGGGGGGTGGTTTTGTCTTTTAGAGAGAAATAAAGGGAGAGAGAGCACAGGATGGGCAGAGGGAGAGAGACTCTCCAGCAGACTCCCCACTGAGGACAGAGTGTGACACAGGGCTCAATCTCACGACCCTGAGACCACGACTTGGGCTGAAACCAGGAGTCAGATGCTCAACTAACTGAGCCCCCCAGGCACCCCATCAATAAAGCTGTTTTTAAAAAAAGGTGACCCCAGGATCAAGGAAGACCTGGATCCTACAACTGGAACAAGCTCCAGCACCCCTGTGCAGGGAACACAAGTGAGCTTTTCCAGAGCCTAGGACCAGGGCTTTCTGCAAGCTCCAAATGCAACTTTACCAAGATGATCAGAGCAGCCTGCCTCTGCCCTTTGCACCCTCACACACCTCTTCCTCACTCACCCCCCCCATATTTAAACAGAAGCTGAGAGATACTTTGGTGCACTTATGAAAAGTCAAGCTCTACCCCAGCCCCACGGTGAGAACATTTATATAATTCAATAGTTCTCAGAACAATAACGCACACAGATCTATTTTTCTATGTACACAGAGTCCTACCAGAGATTCGAGTGGTGTGATTCTGTTCTTTATTAGAGCGACCTGCTTCCATGCCATAGTGGGCATCACTGAGGGTCCCTGCATCTGTTAAATGAAGTTTGGCTTCGTGTAACAGGAAACTCCATCACTGACGTATATGGCTTTACTCTTCCACTTTACTGGAGACTAGAGGTAAAGAGTGGAGAGCTGTGTGGCAGCTCTGCAAAGTCTTAAGGGTCTCAGCCTCCTGCTGTCTCCGTAGGCACATGGCCTCCATCCCCGCAGTTACATGATGTCTGCTAGGGAACTGTGATCCAGCCAGCAGGAGCGGGAAGGAGAAGAGGCAAAGGGAGGAGCTCTGATTGTCCCACAAGGCAACAGTGATGCTGCTCAAAGGAGGAAGAGGGCAATGAGCAGCAGGTCAGGTGCCCGGCTATTTGGAATCAAAAAGATGGTGGTCACTGGAACCAATCCTGGGATGGCACACATGCTATCTTGTACCCTCAAGGGTGTACCCTAAAAGAACCAATCCCTGGTTCTTGAAACATGTCCTCTGGGTCAAAGGACCAACAATTGAGCATGTTGCTACAATTTTCTCCCCCTGAAGAATGGGTGCCAAGGAGCTCCACAGCCGTGTTCAGTCCCATCCTTCAGGGCAAGGGTGGGAAGGCGCTCCCCTCTGTGTGGATCCAGCTGAGGCTCTGGCCCTGATAACCCTGCCCACTGCTCCAGGCTACTCAGCACCTGGGGTTTGTGGGCTGCCAGTGGAGAGCTGGGTTCAGGGGCACAGTCAAGCAAGGGTGTCTGCTGTCCCAGAGCACACACACCAACAGTGGTGGTGCTCAACCAGTCTTAAAGGGTAGGTATGTCATCACCCAGGGCCTGCTGACTGGAGAAGGACATGCTGGGATCAGACAGCAGGAGGCATCAGGAGGTGCTGGTTCTCAGCAGACTTGGCTCCCATGCCGGCCAGCCACAGGCCACAACCGCCTGGGGCCTGCTCCCTGAGCTGGAACCCACGGGGGCATCTGGGAGGCACCAGGGACCTGAGTGAGGGCGTGGCTCGTCCCCTGGAACCCCTGCACTGAGCTCACCCCTGGGGGCCAGGCACCTGCTCCAGGACCAGCTCCCACCCGGTGGGGCCACCATCATGATCAAAGTCAGAGTGGATCTGGCCACACCATGCTCACTCGAAGTGTGTGAACACAGGAGAAGGGGCAGGGGTCCCCGGGAACACCCCGCTCTCCAGGTCTCCTGCCCCAGTGGTATTTCAGTGACAAGTAATAAACTAATACATTCCTTTTCATTTAAAACAGACTTCAGAGAGAAGTGAAAGGTATAAAGAAAAAGAAGTCCCCTCTTCCCCAGACTGGAGGCGCTCCTTACACAGTTCTGGGACATCTTTGCATATATTTTCTGCCCAAATGTATTTGCCAGGGAATGTTACTTATAAATACTTCAATTAAAAACAACTAACGACTGAACTACCTCTTGCATTGTTGACATTAAAAGTAGGGAAGGATCCAAGCCACAGGGAGCCCCTGGCACAGGTGCAGTCTCCAGTATGGCCACCAGGTGTCAGAACCACCAACGGAATTCCCACACTTGGACTGGGAAGCTTCAGGAACAGTCTGGCTGGGAATGGCACCAAGACCCCCACCTGGCATCCTTTGGCCCTTTGGCCCAATATTTCGTCTCCTACGAAGGAAGGGAGGGGGGAGTAAGGATTGCTGCAAAAGCCAATTAACTTCTCAGGGCACAGATTCCCATTCAGTTGGGTAGCCTTGGATCCTTCCAGAAGCTGCTGAAACGCTGTGGGATTCCCTTGGGAAGCATGAGGCGGGCCTCCCACAGCTGTGAGGCACTTCTAGAAGCCAGGACCACCTCCCCACCTAGCTGGATAGCTGAGAAGGGTGAGCTCAGAGGGGTATACACAGGGGAGGGATCGGCCACAGCCATCCTGGTCTGTACGCGGCCCTCCTCCGATTTAGCCTCAGGTCATGGCCTCTGGGTTGAGCCCCTCACCGTGCTGGCCTGGCCTTGTCTGGAGCCACTGACCTAGGAAACTGTCGCCCTGCTGGAGCAGACCTCAGGCATGGGGGTGGAAACACTGCTCCTCCTGCAGTATACCTGCCACCACACTCAGGGACAGTGGACTCGCTGCAAGGGGCTCCAGGCAGGGCCCCCGCAAGCCTCACCCTGTAACTCCTGATCACTAGAGAGGTGTGGAAGCAGTTACAACACTAATGGGGTCAAGGGGCACAGTGACCATGGCTGCAGAGGGATAGACTCCTCCCCAAGAGGGCACCGTGACAGAGTGTCCAAGGGACGGATGGGGTCCTTGTCACATGTGCCAGCTAGCAGTATGGGCTGCTTCCTGGGCCACATCCCATTTCTGGCCAGGGGTCCAGGGAAGGGTTCTCACAGGGTCTAGTCCCAATGCTCAGGGATGGAGCTTTCCTACATAGAATAGTGCCACATGTGGGAGCAGACGGGAGGCGGGGTACAGAGAGGGAGGGGTAGGAAGGGTTCAATGCTCCCAGACGATGTTCTCGATATCCAGGTACGACCCCAGATTTGTGATTTCCATGCATTCTGACAGGCAGGTGAAGGCGACTTTTTTCTGTGATTTGAATGACCTCATCCACTAAACTGGTACATCCTACACAGGTCACAGGAAGCAACAGTAATTACTTAACTCACTGTACACCTTACATTCACATATATCACTTAAAATAATACACCTGTGCTGCCATACACATAATAAAAATGGCAATTATCATTAAAACATAGGTAGCATTTATATTCAGATATGACTGTGTGTGTTGATACTCCGTGTTTCAAGCACAATATACAAGCCAAATGCTTTATTTAAAAAGAAAGAAGGATAAAACAATGTCTATATTGGGACCCACATTCATTTACCATGACTGGTATAACAGCCGTTGCTTTGATGTGGCCAACACTGGTCTGGCCATTGAGGAGTTTTTCCATTACCCTATGACATATGATATAAGAGGTATGGTACTGAAAGAATCTCTGTAATGCTGACCAGACCACCCCCTTGATCATGGCAAAGGGAGTAGTCTCTCTGAGCCAAGGGAAGGGGCCTTTGCACAGCCCCCTAAGCTGCTCTGGGTCTGTCTACCTCAAGGAAGCCAGGTTAATGAGGCCTCTCCTCCAGGCACTGTAACTCAGTAACTCCTGGATAATCCTGGTAAGTCAAAGAGCCTCCCAGGCCCCTGATAAGTCTAGCTATTAATCACTCATTCTACTTGGTGGGACCACTCACGTGACAAGGTTACGCAAGGCTCAGACAGACTCCACTGGTCAAGGTGTATCTTGAGATCCCCAAGCTTCCAGGTCTCTGGGAAAAAAGTAACCAATGGAGTCTCAGGGGTGGGAAGGGATGGGGTTCAGGCCCCCACCCGCCTCGCTGAATCAAATACCTGCTTACCACACACACCCTCCAGGTCAATCATGCTTTGGGGGTGAGTCAGGGAGGAGGTGGGCGGCTGTGCTCAGTTTTGCCAGGTGTCTGGTACCCTAATGACCATGACTCCTCCCTCTACTTAATCCTTCCTGTACCGAGTCTCCACCTCCAAGCCCTGTACTCAGCCTGGTGTCCCCGAGGCTGTTCCCCTTCCATAAAGCAGGTAAGGAAATCATCCACATGAACAGACAAAAACAAATGACTTCCTGAATCACACCTGAGCTTGGGTGCAGTTTGGGTGCAGAGTAAGGCCAAGCTACAAGCTCAGAGATCACTGACTATAATTATCCCTCCCATAAGGGCAGCCATCCTTACCTGTAGCCAAGCAGCTTCTGAGGCCATGACAAATAGCCGTGCCGGTCGAAACCCCAGAGGAAGCATTCCTCAGCATGTCTCCCGGCCCAAGCGTCAGGGACAGGCACCAGAAGAGTCAACAGACTAAACCAATAGAAACAAGAGAGAACTGGTTCTCCTGCTCTCTAGATGGCTCATGACATTTCAATTATGTGCAGCACAATATAGCTGAATTATTTTTAACCTTTATGGAGCCTCCGCTTCACAAAAGAAATATTAGTTGGTGGAGTTCAAGGACAGCTGGAGGCAGAGACCAGAAAGAAGGTCATGAGCAGGAGTGAGCCCGTCAGTGGCCCTGCATACAGGATAGGTAAAGCATGCAACCTTTTGTTCAGGGAATCATGAGTGTGGTGCGTTCTGGGTGTTGCTTATTTGCAATTTATTTCTCCAAGTAATACAGTGTATGTCCTTGAGGCAACATCAGTGTCTCGTCAGCAAATGGCAGAGGAGCCCTCAGCTCTGACTCCCCCAGTAGCTCTGCTGCCAGGATGGACAGTGGAACGGATGGAGCTAATTCTGCCGAAAGTCTATGTGAAGAGTTCCCAAAGCACAGTCTTTTGAACAAGTTCACTCATGATCTAAACAAACTAATCTTCCTTTTAATAGCTCTGCTGTGGGGTGAGGGGAGAGAAGGGTCCCATGTCCTCTTCTTGTTCCACTTTCTCCATGAAAATCTCCTTTCAAAACTTGTCAAAGATACACTGCAACCTCCCAGTGAAAAGACATACCCAAAGCTCTTCTGATTACAATGGTATCAAGAGTTGCAATTTCCAATGCCTACAGGTGCCAATAGGTCTGTCCCATAAGATTATCTTGAACTGTATTCTTCTGGCCCTGAAACACTTTAATTTTGGAATACCCATTTGTCTTGAAATACAGCCCGTGTCTGACAGAGACATGGATATGAGAGAGAGTTCACTTAGTTCCTAATTCTACTATCAGAGATATGACACCACAAGTTTGACCCTAAATGGCAGCTGGCCATCAACTTTGACATTCGGGAGGATGCAGAGAGCAGGGCACACCAAGCTGAGCTGGAACGCACATCACCTGCATAAAAGCAGAAGCCACCATTAACGCCAACCATTAGTCTTGCAGAAGCATGGGCTCAGCACTTTGCAAAGAAACCAGAAATCCAGATCCTTGCATGTAATCTCCCAGTGTTTAAATATGGATAATTAGCTTAAAAAAAAAAAAAAGACCAATCTCAGGTCCCCAGTTTGCTACCTCCCCTTTAATGACAAAGGCAGTCATTAAACAGACTGGGAACAGACCTGCCCTAGAAGTCAGGAACATGAGGCTATTAGATCTTGACCCAACAGCTAGGCAAGACACCTGACCATCACAGGTTTCTGACACCTTGAGGTCCAAATTTCTTTCGATACTGAATTATGATACTGTACAGTTACATAAGTTTTCTAGATGGTCAATTTCCACAAAAATCACCAGGAACATAATTAAATGAGAAACACCCACAAAGAGATCAGTGTACCACACAGCAGGGTCTATGGCATCACAGGTCGAGACGTGGCCTTGGTGTGGCCAAGCCACTTGGTTCGTATAAGCACAGGAATGTGAGCCTTCCTCTGGGTGTGATCTCCTGAGAGCCACCCACCCGCCAGGGACAATAAAGTGTGGCTCTCCTCTGGCATATCATGGCCGTGGTGGGGAGCACCTCTCTACCAGATAGAACTAGCATGGGTCTGGAAACTCAGGGTTTTCAGGAGACATTTTGAGTTAGAAAACAAAGCTGCCCAATGGGCTGGTCTGAGCCACGAGTCCCGCTTCTTAAGTTCACACTCAGCCTTCCTGCGATGAGACTCATAGCTGCTACAGCAAGGCCTTCTGCATCAACGGTGTCCTCAGGGCAGCCCTGGTTACTCGACCCTCAGCCACGGCCCTGCATGGACAGGAGCAGACAGCTCGGCCCCGTGCTAAACCATGCAGTTTCCCACCCTGCAACTTCTCTTCAGGGGAAGCAGGAAGGGAGTAAGAAAATATTAAGCTGGGATGCCTGGGTGGTTCAGCAGTTGAGCGTCTGCCTTTGATTCGGGCCTGATTCAAGGGTCCAAGATCAAGTCCCACAACAGGCTCCTGCAAAGAGACTGCTTCTCCCTCTACTTATGTCTCTGCCTCTCTCTCTCTCTGTCTCTCTCTCTCTCTCTGTGTCTCTCTCTCCCATGAATAAATAAAATCTTAAAAAAAAGAAAAAGAAAATACTAAGCTGGAGAATAACGACAAAGGAGTAAACTAAGGGCCTTCCCACTGCAAGGGTTAAAAATAGGCATATTTCAGTCCAAAGAAGAGTAGTCACATTCTTGTGGTTATGTTACGTGTGTGCCTTGGGCAAAATGAAGGCCCTAAGAACAGAAATTACAAGTGAGCACCTCCAGCAATGCCTACACGAGCCCAACTGTGGAGAGAGCCCAGACGTCCATCAACAGGTGAATGGATAAGTTAGACATGGTGTGTATACTCAATGGAATACCACTCAGCCATCAGAAAGGATGAAATAATCAGAGAAAGGCGATTATTGGATGATCTCACTGATACGTGGAATTTAAGAAACAAAACAGGATCATAGGGGAAGAGAGGAAAAAATAAAACAAGACAAAATCAGAGAGGGAAACAAATTCTAAGAGGCTCTTAATCACAGGAAACAGACTGAGGGTCACTGAAGGGGTGAAAGTAGGGGGACGGGGTCACTGGGTGATGGGCATAGAGGGCACATGATATGATAAGCACCGGGTGTTATGTAAGACTGATGAAGCACTGACCTCTACCTCTGAAACCAATAATATGTTATATGGAAATTAATTGAATTCAAATAAAATGTTTTTTAAAATTTTTATCAACAGGTAAAAAACAGAGCAGCTCCTGCACACAGGTCATGTTGACACAAACAGCTGGGCTCCCGGTGATGCAGGGAGGGGATTCCACACCCACTTTCCTAGGTGCTTGGGTCCATTCATTGGTTGTGAACAGGGTCTGTCATTCCTGTTGGTAGCTGCCAGCAAGTATCCAGTATGTCTCAAAGAATGAATTACCTTTGACTCCAAAACCAGCCATGACCTCTCTACTTTGCCATGTGCCCCATGACCGCCCTGGCTTTAGGTCACCAGTGCTTATTCTAAGTCAGCTTATTGTTACCCTGAGGCCTTTGTTATCTGCATCCTGGCCTGGAATGCTCTCTTCCCTGATCTTCAAGAGGTGGGTCTTGCGGTCTCAGAGCCTCAGGGCGCCCCTCAGAGGGGCTCTCTCTGGGATTTATCCCTTCGTGATTTGTCATATAGCCCTACTTTGCTTCTCTGCTTCCCACCACCTGATTTACTTCCCATTTGTTTCTACCCTCCTCACCTGTCTTCTCTCACTAGCACCTGAGTGCCATGGAAATAAGCATTTTGTGTCTCTCCGCCAAGTATTTCCAGTAGCTAGAATGGTGCCTTGCATTGAGCAGGTGCTCAGGAAGTATTAGCTGAAGGAACAGATAGATGGCTGGCTGGAGGTAAGAAGGCCTCTGGCAGATGCCCGTGAGGTACCTGTGGCGCCCAGGGATGCAATAAGGGAAAAACTCACAGACTCGCATCTAACAGGGAAGACTGACACTCATCCAGCGCAACGCAATGAGGCTGATGGAAGTGCATTGATCTGTCTGCTCAAGATGAGTGTGAGGACAATGTCAAAGTGAAGAGCTGGCCGAAGGGCAGAGGAGAGAAGAGGATGGGGGGGAAGGCATCATGGCAAGGTGACGAGTCTGGAAGCAGAGCCTAGGTTCCAGGGGCCCCAGGAGCAGGTGTGAGGGACCCGGTGTCTGGAAAGAGAGGCAAGTGCCAGTTCTCAGCTTCCTATCAGTCTCTGCATGCTGGACTTTAGTCCTTGAGCAGGGGAAGCCATCTAAGGATTTTTAAGGAGGGAAGCCACATGATGGCTTGGTGTTAACAAAGACAATTCTGGTAGCAGCAAAGGCAACTATGAGAAAAGTGCAAAACATGCAGGAGGTTATCGTCCATCCAGGTGCAAATACATCCAGGATCGCAACTTCCAGCAGAAACAGAGAAGGAAAAGAGGAGACAGATGGAAAGCTGTTAAAAGGTAGGATCCGTGGAACTTTGTGACACACCAGACACGGGAAAGTGAGAGAAAGGATGGAGTTCAAGGCAATCCCATCAGAATTACTGGTCTTGTGCATGGGGCATATGAAGTCCTAAGCTCCCCTGCCCACATGTGGCTGGGTATGAGTGTGTCTGCTGACATGAGCTCGGGGACACTGGCCCCACTGGGAACCTTCCACCCTGGCACCACTGCCCGCACACCTGCTTCATCAGTAGGTTTGTAGAGAAGTCCCTGTGATGTGTGTGCCTGAAACCTACAATGGTGATGATCTCTCTCTCCTTCAGAAAGATACGCATGTTATTACTTCCATGCACAGCCGTGTATGGAGGCACATGATCCATCACCACAGAAGCATGACTATTGATCTAAATATAGATGTGCCTGTCACCTCAGAGAAAAAACAGACCAGAAGCCATGGTTCCACTTACTCCAAGGAAATTTAAGGTGATAAAATTAAAAAAACAAATCAATATAAGGTTTCTTAAGTCTGTAAAGGATCGAATGATCAAATTATGATGATTTCACCTGCTTCATGTCTCTTGACCTTAAACTGCTACTTTAGCCCCCTCTAAAGCAGCCCCCACCCGACCCCAAGTTATTTCCCACAGTCTTCAAGGAAAACCTCACAGTGGCCATGTGCCAGGCACACAACAGGGTCCTCACTTCATGTCTGCTCTCCCACCCTCACCCTATATGTTCTGACCACCACTGCTCCCACTGGCCCACTGACCCTGGGGAAGCCAGTGCTCACTCCCACCACAACGTGCCAAAGCTACAGGACCTCTGCTATAAGGCAAGGAACAATGCCCTCCTTTCGTGATATGCCTCCAAAGGGGCCGCAAAGCAGCAGAGATTATGCCCAGTGTTTTCTGAAATTGTCATTAAAGGGGTTACTTACAAACAAAACAGATGAACATACAGGAGCGGGGAAAGAGAGAGAGAGGGAAACAAACCATAAGAGAAAGACAATAAACTGAGGGCCGATGAGGGAAGGAATGGGGGAGGTGCATGAAGGAGGGCCCCTGACGATGAGCACCCAGTGTTATAAGCAAACGATGAATCACTCAATTCTACTCCTGAAACCAGTATTAAACTATATGTTAACAAACTAGAATTGAAATAAAAATTTGAAAAAGAAATAATAAAAATGAAAGGGTTCTTGACATTTTTGTACCTGTGGCCTTCCCTCCTGCACACTGTCCTCCCAGGCCTAAGCCAGGAGCTGTGGGCACCCAGGCTAGAAGACAAATGAGTGACAGCCACCACACGGCCTCCCTCCCTTGGGGAAGGGCTTTGTTACAGGGTCAAGTGGGTCCAGCCTGGCTCCCGCTCCCTTAAGATGGATTCTTCCCAGGAGAATCCTTCATTCCTCACCTAAATAGATTTTTGGAGCCACCCTCTTCCCAATTCCTCCAAAGGGAGAGTTTGAGTCCAATCCTTTAAAAGAATGAAAGACCAGTTGTATTGTTAAATTATTTATAAGTGGAAAGCAAGTAGAAGCTGTAAAAACATGCTAAGTTCAAGACTAAAAAATAGCTCTGATATCGGACTTTTCATTTACCTCTGATGATGAACCACCTGTCAATAATCTGAACATGAGGACAGGGAGGGGAAAATGAAATTTTAAACATGATACCACTTACATTGGCATAAAAAAATCCAACACATAGGAATAAATCTGATAAAATATGTGCAGGGCCTATCCAGAGAATCCAGAAACATTGCTAGGAAAAATTAAAGACTTATGTAAATGGGAAAGCATCCCATGTTCCTAAGCACAAAAGCTCAGTATTATAAAATGTATTTGTTTTCTCCAAGTTGATCTATGGATTTTATTCAGTTCTAGTCAAAATCTCAGCAATTTTTTGTGGCAATTGACAAGATGACTCCATTTTTTCCGATGAAATGCAAAGGGCCAGCCAAGGCGATCTTGAAGAAGAAAACCACAGTTGAAAGATTTCCACTACCAGATGGCAAAACTTATAAAATTACAGCAATTAAGTCAGTATGGTATTAGCAGAAACTTTTGTCAGCAAAGCATAAAGATACACAAATGGACCAATAGAACACAGAGGGTTTAGAAACAGATCCACATGTGCACAGTACTCTAATTTTTGATAATGACACCACACTGCAAGGCAGAGAGGAAGGAATGGTCTTTTCAAAATGGTGCTGGATCATCTGGACATAAACATGGAAAAACAAAGGAGCGTTGACCCTTACCTCACACCAGTCATGAAACTAAAGTTTAGGGGCACCTGGCTGGCTCAGTCAGAATAGCATACAATTCTTGGTCTTGGGGTCATGAGTTTGAGCCTCACATTAGGTATAGAGGTGACTTAAATAAACTAAAATAAACAAACAAACAAACAAAAAAACGAAATTTTAGAACTGTAGACATGCCCTGGAAAGGCAAGACATTGAAACTTCCAGAGGATCTCTTACAAGAGTATCTTCATGCCCTTGAGGACAGAGAATGGCTTCTAAAGTAGAACACGGAAAGCACAAACCATAAAGGGAACAATTGATGAACTGGATTTCATTAAGAACTTCTACTCATCAAGACACCATTAAAAAAGCAAAAGCAAACCACACAGTGGGAGAAGAAACTTGCAGTACATGTATTCAACAAAGCACTCATATTCAGAATACATAAAGAATTCCACAAATCAATAAGAAAAAGGAAACACAATTTTAAAAGGAGAAGCAAAAGACTTGAAAAGGCACTTCATAGAAGAGACTGTCCCAGTGCCTCTCCCCTAAAAAATATTTTAAAAGGGCTCAACATGATTAGTCACCAGAAAAATGCAAATTAAAACTACAGTAAGATGCTGTTGAGGTCCGGGCAATGTTCTGTTTCATGACATGGGTGGGGGTCTCACAGGAAAAAAAATTCACTAAGTTATACACTTAAGGATTTGTACACTCTTCTCCATTTGTTATAGTTGCCTAAAAATGTTTCCTTAAAAAAAGACTTGGGAAATATATCAGCCAAAGTTAATGTGTAGACTTTATTGGATTTTGCTTCACACCAGCCAACTGTTAAAAAAGAATTTGTGAGAATTTGGTCATTAGCTGCATATTTGGTGATACTTAATAACTGTTTAGGTGAGATGATTGATGGCTTTATATCAATGTTTTCAACAACACTTCTTATTATTTAGAACTATATACTAAAGTATACATATATCAATAAAATAATATCTTGGATTTGCTTCAAAATAATCAGAAGAGGGAGAACAGTAAAATAAGAATAGATGAATTGATAGCTAATACAGCTGGACAGGTGACCCTCGAATAAAATGGGGGTTAGGGACACTGACCCCCCACAGTCAAGAATCCATGTATAACCTTCGACTCCCCAAAAACTTAACTGCTAATAGCCTACCACTGACCAGAAGCCTCACCGATAACATAGTCAATGAACACGTATTGTGGATGTTACATGTATCATGCATTGTATTCTTAACAATAAAGTAAACTAGAGAGAAGAAAATGCTATCAAAAATGTATAAGAAAAAAAAGAAATGTATAAGGAAGAGAAAATACATTCACAGGTCAGTACTCAACTCATCGAAAAAAATCCACTTCTTGTGGACTTGCACAGTTCAAGAGTCCACAGTCAAGTGTAATGTTCTACTTTTATGTATAGAACTTGTATAATAAAACCTTTTTATTTTTATTATTTTTTTTAATAAAACCCTTTTAAAGCCATAGCTTAGCCAGGGTGCCATGCTGTGGGGCCATCTATGACTCCTCTCTTCCATCCCTCCCTAACAGAACCAAGTATTTCCGTAGTGACGATGGAAACCGTAAACATTGAACCCTCAGGCTCCTGGGACCTCAAGAAGTTGTCTTGGCCATTCTCTCCTTATCAAGCAGAGTCTCTGAAACAGGGGGACCCACACCACAACGTATACTGTGCAGCACAGGAAACACAGCATGCATTTCAACACACTGCATTTCTCAGAGAAATGAACCAGAAAGAATGGACAACCTTCTACCACCCTACCTCCAAGGTTCACTTATCCACTAACCAGACCAATGAAACAGTAAAGAGTTCCCAGTGGGGAACAAGGATTCATAGACACTAAAAGGGCAAGATTAGGGATGCCTGGGTGGCTCATCAGTTCAGTGCCTGTCTTCGGCCTAGGGCGTGATCCTGGAGTCCTGGGATCAAGTCCCACATTGGGCTTCCTGCATAGAGCCTGCTTCTCCCTCTGCCTATGTCTCAGCCTCTCTCTCTCTGTCTCTCATGAATAAATAAGATCTTTTTTTTTAAAAAAAAAAGGGGGGGGCAAGGTTAAAAAATTAATTTATAGGACTTGCTCCTGTTTCTTCTTTTGACCTCTAGGAACTGCAACAGTGGATACTTTTCAGATTCATACCAGGCATCTCTGATAGTGTAGGGGTTGAGCGTACAGCTCAGAACCCTGCATACCCAGCTCACCCACCCACCAGCCACATGACCTCAAATTTCCTGTGCTTCGGTCTACCACCTGTGAAACACAGGTACATACCTCACAAGGTTGCCGAGATTAAAATAGCACAATATGCGTAGAGTGCTTAAAATGATGCCAGGTGTTGCCTTTAGCATTTCTCCAGCGCCACAGAAGCCTGCCATGGACCCACGCCACTGCCAGAAAGAACGAATGGGAAGGTGGGCTCTCAGAAACCAGAGAACGGTGTTGTTGAAACTCTGTGGTTAAACCTTCCAAACACATCTATTTCTAGCTATTTCCATATTTGTTGGAGAACAGTATTTGCCAATAATTTGGGGGTAAAGAAAAAGATCCTCTGAGATAAGAGATCAGAGGTGTAGCAAGAAACGCAGAAAGACTCCTTCTCTGTAGAGGATATAAACCCTATTCACATTCAAGGGACCAGCAAGTCCCTCAACTGCCAGTCTTGTTTTTGAGATTTATTTCAGAGACAGTGAGCACAAGTGGGGGAGGGTCAGAGGGAGAGGGACAAGCAGACTCCCCGCTGAGGGCAGAGCCTGACATGGGGCTCAGTCCACAACCCTGAGATCATGACCTGAGCCGAAATCGAGAGTCAGACACCTACAAGATTGAACCACCCAGGTACCCCTCCACTACTGGTGTTCATTTAGCCTGGCACCACTCCACACACCACAAAAAGAAGCTAAGAGCTATTATTTTGTTCTTTTGTTGTTCATGATTGGTATCCATGAGCTCATTCAAGCAAGTTTTTTGAAAAATTGAGGCCATTATGTTTCACATTTGCCTATATGTTTAGTATTATTTAATAAAGACCATGATTTCCAAATAAAAATAATTCACCAAAGAGGTCCAGAGAATCAAAATATTAAAATTTCTAAGTTTTAAAATTCTAGCCATTAGACCATTACTTCTATATGGCCTGTGTATACATTCTGAAAACGTATTTTTTCATAAGTAGAATTTCTTGTTAACCATCATAATTGTGTTTTATCGTTGACTATTCTTTATGATTAACATAATGCCAGAGGAATGAACAGCATATATGAAACGGAGAATGAGGTAAGGCTGCCCAAAGGGCCTGTTGTCTACCATGCAGACTCCAGGGGCTATTAATTATTTAGATACTTTTCAAAGTTAATAAATAGGAATGTCTTTTTGCCCTTTATTCCCCAGATGAACGTAACCAAATGAGAGGGATATGTATGTGCAGAGTGAGCTGTCTGAGAACAAGGGAGTACAGGTAATGAAAGGGCCATTTAAAATATATATATTTAGGGATCCCTGGGTGGTGCAGCGGTTTAGCGCCTGCCTTTGGCCCAGGGCGCGATCCTGGAGACCCGGGATCGAATCCCACGTCAGGCTCCTGGTGTATGGAGCCTGCTTCTCCCTCTGCCTGTGTCTCTGCCTCTCTCTCTCTCACTGTGTGCCTATCATAAATAAATAAAACAAAAAAAATTTTAAAAAATTAAAAAAAAAAATAATATATATATACTTAATGTCAAATATGCACAACACTGCTTTATGTGGCATGTTTTTATTATGACATTCTTATGAGTATTTTGATGGTTTTTGAGTGTACTTTGAAAAACACGAGTAGTTTAAAAACATTAATACAAAAAAAGAGCAAAATTAAAACGACACGTTAAAAAAAATACTGATTGTTAGAAAATGCAAACACTAAAGTATCAAAGGGAAAAAAATAGCCCCCTTCTCACCATCGGAGTCCTACCCCTCCCCCCCCAGAGCTTTAGGCTTTTCTACCCCACCAGAAAAATAACGTACGCGTGCAATTTACTGAAAGGAATCCTACCATGCAGTTTTTTTTACTTAATAACATATCTTGATGCCATTTCCAGATCAGCACAGGCCATTCCTTTTGCTCATCCACAGGGCTCCAGGGAAGATCTCTGCACATGAAGCTCGGGGTCATATGTGGTGTTTCAGTGTGACCTGCCACCACAGAGTGCAGCAGCAGCTACAAGCTGCTCCAAGCGGTCTATCACTGTTGCGTGATTGGAAAAGAACAATCAAGTTCCTTGGTTTACTTCAGTTCCTTCAGGAAATTTCCTGAGCCATTGATTTACAGCCTGTGGGCCTAAGACAGCTGAAGAAAGAGCTGCTGGCAGTTGAGGAAGGCAAACACTTCTATCTGTGCACTTTTGAGAGTCCTGTCCTTGCGCTAAGATCCACCTGCTGGGCCACCCCCTCCCACTCCAGGCGTGGACTGAATGCTGATGGCACCAACGAAATGCTTGTAGATGGGGGATCAGGAGCAAGTGCTGGAGAGACATGTGTGCAGCAGTAGGTACAACTGCTAGGCGACTGTGCCTTTCACTATGACGCAGGCATGAGAAACTCCCCAGTCACCAAGACCGACGCGCAGCACAGTATTCAGAGCTGCCTGCCTAGAGTGCACATGAACACAGTCACATGGCAGAGTACAGGCTCAGAAATACTAGTAACAATAGGGCCGTATTACATCTCTGCACTTAGTTACTGTCTCAAATCCTTTTTGAAATGATGGAGGGGTTTTTTAAAATATTTATTTATTCATGAGGGACACAGAGAGAGAGGCAGACACAGGCAGGAGAAGCCGGCTCCATGCAGGAAGCCCAATGTGGGACTAGATCCCGGGCCTCCAGGATCACACCCTGGGCTGAAGGCAGGCGCTAAACCACTTAGCCATTCAGGCCTCCCAAATGATGGAGGGTTTAAAATGTATTTTGAAATATTTCTGACAGGGCATTTTTCCAAATATTTATTTGTTCTTCCATTTGAGTCACACACCAGCTCAGCAAGTAGGCCAGAGGGACTTTCTACACTTATAAGATGGGATGAATGTAGGGCAGCAGTGTTACACGACTCACCCAAGATCAGTGGGGACCATGCGCCCTAACCCCGGGCACTGTGCTCTGTTCTGGATGGTCCCTGGCCCCCCTAAGTCCAGGGCCAGCTCACCAATTTTAGGACCCTCAACAAAGAACTAGGAAAGAAGCCAGAGATTGAAATACACCCTCCCCAGGAATTCCTGAGATAAAGAAAACTACCTTTCCCTAACAAAAATTTAATGAATTGAAGAATATTGATGTTGCTAAGTAACCAGGTTGAAACACCAAATTAACACCAAAACAGAACAGTTTTTACCAGTTTTACAAAGACTTTTGTGAAAGGGGTGCCTGGCTGGCTCAGTCAGTGGAGCATGCAACACTTGATTTCAGAGTTGAGTTCAAGCCCCACACTGGGTGTACAGATCACTTAAAAATAATTTTAAAATCTTAAAAAAAAAAAAAAAAGACTTTTCTGGGGGTGCCTGGGTGGCTCAGTCAGTGAGCATCTGCCTTTGGCCCAGGTCATGATCCTGGGGTCCTGGGATGGAGCCCCGAGTCCAGCTTTCTGCTCAGTGGGGAGTCTGCCTCTCCCTCTCCCTCTGCTCCTCCCCCAGCTTGTGCTCTCTCTCGCGCTCTCTCAAATAAATAAATCTTTTTTTTAAAAAAAGGCTTTTGTGAAAATGTGGTTTCATATTTTATTATAAACATACATACTACCTCAGCTTTTTTTAAAATCAGGTAGTTCCTTAATTTTGACAGACACTATCTTGGAGAGTATAAGTAACTTGCATTTTGATATCTAACATCTATGTCCTGTCTCTCTGTCAGGGCTGTCCTAGAGAATTACTGTTTAAACTTTTTTGAGGATGTCCTACAGAAGAAATATTTTTCAGTTTGTCAAGCATAGATAAGTCATTGAAACAAAATTTTCACAGAATCATCATTACCCTTCCTATGGGTGTTTTCCTTGGATATTTTCTATGCTATATCTTTGGGATAGAGGTCTAGAAAGGCTCCTCTCTTCTGACCTGAAGAAGGGGTCTTAGTACATTAGCAAAGATTACAAACAGCTTTCAGAATTGAAGGTCCCAGTAAGTGATACTCACACAGAGGGCCAGGAGGATGGAGGTCAGGAAAGGCTCCCTTGATGAAGCCCCCGAACGAGGCAAATCTTGAAAAATGAACTGGAATCAGAAGGGTAGAGACTCAAAAGATGAAGTAAGCCCAGCACGTCTGAGGGGAAGTCACTAAGCATTCGTCAAGGGAGTGTTAAGGGATAAAATCAAAAGAAAGCCTGAGGTCAGTATGTAGAGAGCAAGGCAGACTCTGGATTTTGTTGTGGAGGGAGTAATGGTGTCACTGATGGTCTATGAGTGTGCAGAATGTTGTTCCAGAATTGTTCATCTGGACACAGACTGGAAACAAGCTCTAAAAACACCTAGAGCTCAGACACCAGGTTCTCCAGCAATATTTTAGCAGAGAAAAATGTGTGTACACATGGACCTCATAAATTCAGAATCCTAACAAGAGCAGAATAAAAAAAAAATAGAAAAGCTGGGATATACGTAGTCAGTTTAGACAGCAACTAAATCGCTTCTGTTTTCATTCGTTTACTTTTGTTAATGAAGTGTGGGCCTTACCTGCAGCGACCATAAGTAATTATTTCCTTTACAAAAGCTATACACTTTACTAAGAAGCTTGTCCTTCATACTATTACAAGCCTAACCAATTATTGTAAATAACTGCAAAAGTTAAATTTTGTATCCACAGTAACACTTTTAATAATAAGGCTGTAGAGGGAACACACAAACAGGGACCTGTCAGGGTGTCCAGCATCCCGTAATTCAGGCTCTGCTGGTACAATGACAGTGCCCTCTGATCCTCAGCTCACACCGAGGTCTGTCTCAGGAGAATAAAAACATCCACCCAGAGTCACCTGGCAATTATACCATCACCTGGAAGCATATTTAAGAGATGAGAACTACAAAGCTGTGCACTTCCTCTCCCTTCCTCCAGGCAGCAGAACAACAGAGATCAGGACTCTTTGACTAATTTCTCATAAGCATCACTTTTTAATCATTTTTCTGAATTTAAAAGGGCTGGTCTCCCAAGGCCTCTCTAAAGTTACCTCGAGTTATTAATACTGCAAATTTCAGTGCTAGAAGGCACATCAGTTGAAGTTTTGTGTTTTCCACAGAGAACGGGCTTTAGAGGAAAATTTCTCTAATTTCTGAGAAAATGTCTATTACACAGACGTGTAACCACAGCCGCAGGCACACACACAGCCGTCTGGGCTGAAGGTCATTTCTGCAGGCACACAGGCTGGGATGTCACAGTGACATGGAAGCCCCACGTTTCACCTAAAAACCTCAAGCCTGGATCTCAAGCAGAGTCCAAACCCTGCTCGGGATGCAGGGTTCAGCAGAGGCAGCTGGGAGGGACAGAGGCCGTCCCAGGCAGGTGCCCACGGGCTCTATCTCCTGGGGCCTCAGTGTCCAAGCACATCCTGCTCTCCGCTGGGAGCGCTGCTCCGAAACTCGGGTTCCTCCACACTAAGACCAGTAGCCTGTTCACCCCAGTTTCAGTCCACGTGACCACTGGGTGAGCTGCTGGGGCTGCCAGCCCTATGCCTCAACGCTGCCACCGACCCCGATATCCCCAAACCCCCTGAACTCTGGTCCTGCCGGTGCCGACCCCGACCCCCTCGACCTCTGTCTCTATAACCTTTGCCTCTATGGCCCCGACCCCAACCCTCCACTCCCTGGCCCTGATGCCCTGGATGCCAACCCCCTACTCCTCGGCCCTGACAGCCCTCACCCCAGCTCCCCCTTGACCCCCCATTCCCAGCCCTGATGGCCCTGACCCCAGCTCCCCCTTGAAAGCCCATTCCCCGGCCCGAGGCCCTGGCCCCCAGGCCCTGGATGCGACCCCCACTCCCCGGCCCAGGCCCTGGCCCCAAGCCCTTGATGCCGACCCCCACTCCCAGCCGAGGCCCTGGCCCCCAATCCTTGATGCCGACCCCCCACTCCCAGACCGAGGCCCTGGCCCCCAGGCCCTGGATGCCGACCCCCCCACTCCCAGACCGAGGCCCTGGCCCCCAGGCCCTGGATGCCGACCCCCCACTCCCAGACCGAGGCCCTGGCCCCCAGGCCCTGGATGCCGACCCCCCACTCCCCAGACCGAGGCCCTGGCCCCCAGGCCCTGGATGCCGACCCCCCACTCCCAGACCGAGGCCCTGGCCCCCAGGCCCTGGATGCCGACCCCCCACTCCCAGACTGAGGCCCTGGCCCCCAGGCCCTGGATGCCGACCCCCCCACTCCCAGACCGAGGCCCTGGCCCCCAGGCCCTGGATGCCGACCCCCCACTCCCAGACCGAGGCCCTGGCCCCCAGGCCCTGGATGCCGACCCCCCACTCCCAGACCGAGGCCCTGGCCCCCAGGCCCTGGATGCCGACCCCCCACTCCCAGACCGAGGCCCTGGCCCCCAGGCCCTGGATGCCGACCCCCCACTCCCAGACCGAGGCCCTGGCCCCCAGGCCCTGGATGCCGACCCCCCCACTCCCCAGACCGAGGCCCTGGCCCCCAGGCCCTGGATGCCGACCCCCCACTCCCCAGCCCGAGGCCCTGGCCCCCAGGCCCTGGATGCCGACCCCCCCACTCCCCAGACCGAGGCCCTGGCCCCCAACCCTTGATGCCGACCCCCCACTCCCAGACCGAGGCCCTGGCCCCCAGGCCCTGGATGCCGACCCCCACTCCCAGACCGAGGCCCTGGCCCCAGGCCCTGGATGCCGACCCCCCACTCCCAGACCGAGGCCCTGGCCCCAGGCCCTGGATGCCGACCCCCCCACTCCCCAGACCGAGGCCCTGGCCCCCAGGCCCTGGATGCCGACCCCCCACTCCCAGCCCGAGGCCCTGGCCCCAGGCCCTGGATGCCGACCCCCACTCCCAGCCGAGGCCCTGGCCCCCAGGCCCTGGATGCCGACCCCCCCACTCCCCAGACCGAGGCCCTGGCCCCCAGGCCCTGGATGCCGACCCCCCACTCCCAGACCGAGGCCCTGGCCCCCAGGCCCTGGATGCCGACCCCCCACTCCCAGACCGAGGCCCTGGCCCCACCCTGATGCCGACCCCCACTCCCAGACCGAGGCCCTGGCCCCCAGGCCCTGGATGCCGACCCCCCCACTCCCAGACCGAGGCCCTGGCCCCCAGGCCCTGGATGCCGACCCCCCCACTCCCAGACCGAGGCCCTGGCCCCCAGGCCCTGGATGCCGACCCCCCACTCCCAGACCGAGGCCCTGGCCCCCAGGCCCTGGATGCCGACCCCCCCACTCCCAGACCGAGGCCCTGGCCCCCAGGCCCTGGATGCCGACCCCCCACTCCCAGACCGAGGCCCTGGCCCCCAGGCCCTGGATGCCGACCCCCACGCCCCGGCCCCCTGACCCCGAGGCCCTGGACCCCGGCCCCGCCCCCCGCCGCGGCCGCGACCCCGACCCCGACCCCGACCCCGACCCGGCCCCGGCCTGCGCCAGCCGTCGCCCGGCCTGGGGCGGCCGCACTTACTCCCGCGGGGGCGGCCGCCGGGGAGCCGGGGCCGGGGGTCCCAGGGCCGGGGTCCCCGCCGCCGCAGGCCGCCCGCCCCGGCACGTGCCGGCTGACAGGCCCCCCATAGGTCCCGTACCTGCCACCGGAAGTGAGTGAGGAGGGCAGTATAGGCATTTCCTGTGACGCGAGCGCCTGGACTCCATTAGGCAGCAGCTGGGGGAAGAATCAACACACCAGGGAGCGGAGCGCAGCCACCGAGCGCCGAGGCGGCCGAGGCGGCCGCTGCCTCCGCCGCCCGCCGCCGCCGCCGCCGCCGCCGCCGCCGGAGCCGGGGCCCAGCCCCGCGGCGGGCCCCGCGCCCCCCGCCGCCGCCCGCGGGGCCCCGGCGCGCCCCCCGCCGCGCTCCGAGCCGCCCGGGGGGAGGGAGAGGCCCGGACCCTCGGCCCCGCTCCGCTCCCCGCTCCCCGCTCCCCGCTCCCCGCTCCTCCTCCTCCTCCCCGCCCCTCCCCCGCCCCGGCCCCGGCCCCCCCGCCCCCGGCCCCCTCGCCCCGACCCTCCCCCGGCCCCCGCCTCGCTCCGCCGGCTCCCACCACGGCCTCTCTCGGCGAGGAAACTCTGGCCTCCGCTTCCTCCTCCTCCGACTCGGACGCCGGCGGAGCCTCCCCGCCCCCGCGGAAGAAACCCCGAGCCTCGGCGGCGGAGGGAGCAGGAGAGCCCGGGGCCTCGGCAGGCAGAGCAGGCCTCTCCCCTCCGTCCTCGGCCTCGGTCCTCGGCCTCGGCCTCGGCCTCGGCCTCGTCCTCGTCCTCCTCCTCCTCCTCCTCCTCCTCCTCCTCCTCCTCCTCCTCCTCCGTGCTGGTGGTGGTGGGACTGCCCCCGGCCGCTGCCCCCGCCGCCGCCCCCCACCGGAGTAGCGGCCACAGCCTGGTCAGCGGCAGCATCATGCAGGCCAACGGGGCAGGAGGAGGAGGAGGAGGCGGCGGCGGCGGCGGCGGCGGCGGCGGCGGAGGGGGCGGCGGGGGCCAGGGACAGACCCCGGAGCTGGCCTGCCTGGCGGCCCAGAACGGGGAGTCGTCCCCGTCGTCGTCGTCGTCCGCGGGGGACCTAGCCCACGCCAACGGGCTGCTGCCCGCCGCCCCCTCCGCCGCCAGCAACAATAGCAACAGCCTGAATGTCAATAACGGGGTCCCCGGCGGGGCCGCCTCGGCCGCCGCCGCCGCCTCGGCCGCCGCCGCCGCCGCCGCCGCCGCCGCCGCCGCCTCGGCCGCCACCCCGGAGCTGGGCAGCAGCCTCAAGAAGAAGAAGCGGCTCTCGCAGTCGGACGAGGATGTCATTAGGCTAATAGGACAGCACTTGAATGGCTTAGGGCTCAAGTAAGTGTCCCTCCCGGGCGGCCGCTGCGCACGGGCCGAGGGCCGGAGGCCGCGTGGGGGGAGGGGGCCGGAGGCGAGCTGGGCCGGCCCGGGAAGGCCGGCGGGCCCGGACCTTGCCCTCCTCGGCCCGCACAGCCCCGGAGCCCGATTGTCTGTCAATAAAGACGGATGCGGGAGTGCGTCTCCGGTGGGGGAGGGGCGCGCTCGAGCCGCTGCCAATAATGAACCTCGGAGGATTTGTTTTTCAAGTGTATCTCGGAGGCATCTTTGTGGGACACCTCCCCACCCCCAACTATGACAGACAAGCCAGGCCAACCACCAATCAGGGGACACAGTCGCCTACAAGTGTTCATGGGAACGGAGGGGCTGGGAGAATTTGGAAGGAGGCAGTCGGAAGAAATGTGATGGGAGCGAGCGAGCGAGCGAGCGAGGGAGATACGCTGTGGCTGTGGGTGTCGCTGAAAGGTCCCGGTGTGCGGCCGGCGGGCCTGCCACCGACCCGTGGGGACGCCCGGCTGGTGCCCAGAGCGCCCGCCAAAGGAGCCCCTGCTCCGGCCACCTGCAGCGTCGGTGGCCTCGAGCCCCTCCGTGTAGGTGAAGGGATAGGCAGCGACCTTGGCCTAAATCCACCGTTTTGTGGACACAAAGGAAAACCGGTTGGGGGGGGGGTGGAAGGTAGGATCGGTGGGAGTGCCCTGCAGTCAGTCCTGAGGGGGGATGGAGCAGAACCAGATGAGACCAGGGGGAACCCTGCGACAGTCCATCTCCTGGCTTCAACGCACAGGCCAAACAAAATAAGCCCTTGGGCCAGCCCAAATGTACTTTTGGGTTTATAGATTTGTTCTGGGGGGGGGGGGAGGGGAAGGGGGAGCACTTTCAAAAAGTGACTTAAGTATTTTGATTCTCTGGCAGATCATCACACTGTTTAGCTGAAAAAAAATAAACAGTTGAGAAAGGAAACGTTGAGACGTAAACACAAATATGGAAAACTGATAAGGAATCTTAGGTATCAGAATGCCCGATGAGAGAAACTGCATTTGATAAATCTCTTCAGCTCTCAAGGAGAAACACATATTAGAAAGATTTCACTTTGTTCCCCAAGGAAAAGGATTCTTACGAAAACAGATTTTTGTAAATGCTAACAGAACATGTTACCGAGACAAGAAGCAAGCTGACAGCAGCAGGAGGAAATAACTCGTGACTGTTTGGAACCTACACCATAGTAAATTTGCTATTTTTAGTATAGAGAGAAAGAGAGTGATTTTTGATGCTGGATTTATTTTAATTTTAAAGGTTGACCTAGTAGAATTTCTGAACAAACATAACTGCCTGGATGTAAGGCCCTTCCCTAACCCAGGTCCTCTCTATCACCTTGTCTGGAGCTAACAATTTCTGTCTTTTGAGACTTTGTAACATCAGTATGCAGATCCTGGTTTTTATTTATTTAAGCACTTGGTTACAATATGTTTTTGGAGATTTTATACTTCACTAAACTTCTGAGGCATTACATGGTAAAAATTGGAAGAACTTTTGATTCTGGTTTCAAGACTTTGACTTGACTAGATAAAACTACATAAAGGTGGCCGTTTAAAAATGCAAGTTTGTGGAGCCAAGCACAGTAAAAAACAAAACAAAACAAAACAGAAAAAAAAAAAAAAAACCTATGGATTTCTTTTTTCTCCATCATGAGGTTAGATTGAAAACTTTTGCAACTGTTTTTTATGGACATTAGTTTATTTAGAAGAGTAAATCCTACAAGTTGGCCAGGTCTTTTTTACACTGTATCTCTCCTGCAGCCAGACTGTTGATCTCCTCATGCAAGAGTCAGGATGTCGTTT